AATTAAATACTATGAGAAAAAAATTAAAACAACTTTATTATTGTTTTAAAAATTATAGATATTTTAGTATTTTTTAATGAAAATTTTATTAAAATGACATAATTTTGAAATATTTTTCTATCTATTTTTTTAATACAGACTAACACTTACTTTTTTAATATATATTTTAAAAATTAAAAAATTTAAACCCCAAAAAAGGATGAGTTTATATTAGGGCTTGCTTCTTTTGAGATTAGTTGAACCGCTCCTCCTTACATTATTGTGATCCAAAAGTGAACAACATTTTAATAATCCCCATTAATATGAATTAATTAATAGAAACATGCCTTCCTGTCTCCCTATTCATGTCTTGAGTGGCAAACAAAAAATGACCTTCGAATCCCATCGCCAAGTGGTGCTGCAATTGGTCTATACATGCCATGCACACAAAAAATGCCCCTTTCTATACGTCCATCCCGTGTCCCCTCCAATACTATTGTTAGATTAGATTAGCCTTGTCATCATTCCTATCTCAATTAATACTATTGTTAATATTGGTTCTTTTGGCGTTCTCATTAATTAGGAGTTATGGGTTATTTTGTTGTATTATAGCTCACCTTACAACACCGTACCAACATAGACCCGTTTTAAAATACAAATTCTTTTTGTAGGAATGATAGAAAATTCATTAATAAAGAAAAATAAAGATTACACAGCAGATTGCAATTTCTAAATAGATTCATAGAGGACATAAAAGTTATAATTATTGCATATAGTAATAAACGATATGGCTTGTAAACGATTTAAACAATTAAGTATAAGAGGCCATTTAAAACTATAACAATATTAAATATTTTTTATACTCTAAAATAATAATAAAAAATATTTTATTTTGTTGATCAAAAGAAAAAAAAAATAAAAGGGAAAACCATAACATTATCAGGGCGCAATACGGACTATAAAGTAGAAAGACAACCGGGACTAGCATCTAAGCTACACATAGGTCTCTCTTGCTTGTCAACTTCACTTTTGGAGCATAAAAATTAGTTAGGGACCCCATTTTTTATTGTGTTTGTAATCTCTCGTGCTAAAGTTTACTATTGATCTAACAAATTTTTAAACCAAGATTTATATAAACCTTCAAAAGCCAAAGTTATTAGTAGTAATCAATTATTTATATATCAAAAACACACTTCTTAAGATTTTTTTTAGAGGTGTGACTTTGCTCATACATAAATTAAATATATATTTTTTTAAAATAGTACATATCAGTTTTACTTCTAAAAAGAAATTAGAATTCTAACTTTAAACAATATAATTTCATTTAATTAAAATTTAATTCAAAATTTAAAAATCTATTTATGAAATGATAATAACTGAATTTTTAAAAACAAATATCCCAATTTAAAATTTAAAAATCCACTTGTTGATAC